GTTTTCATGTACTCTTGGTTATAATTTCTCGCCGCTATGGTTTATACTCGCTTAGCTTTCTTGGTTCTGATCGTTGGAATGCGCTTCCTGCTGATATTCGCACAATCTCCTTGCTCAGAAACTTCCGTTCATCTATTCAACAATTCATAGGGTACCCTGTAAAAAGGCCCTAGGCCTGTGGGACTGCCCTATTCAAAATTTAATAATAATAATAATAATATGAAACTCGGATGTTGAGCCATAAATAAATGTAGAAGAGAAAATGACATATGGATACGAGTTAAGAGTAACTCTCCATCACTGTAACATGATACTTTATACAGTCAGAAAGTGCAATAACTAGGCACAAAACTGACAGAGTACTGAAACATTCGACGTCCTGACACCTAGCTTCAACACATCTCCGTAGCGCTAACCGACAGCCTTCCAACTTGGAAGGTTCAAGGTTATGGAAAGACCAAAGAGGGGAAGGCAAGCGCAACGAAAACGAGCAAAAGCTACAGTCCCAACGGAACAAAGAATGTCGATTGTTACTGGACGATGACGAGACCAGTACGATATTTGACAAAGCGGTCTAACTACAATTCGAAGCAGCAAAGCAGCACACCACCCAACTTGGGTGGGTCATAAATATCAAAGATAAGTAAAGAAAGGGAAGCTTTGCGAAAACGAATTGTACAAGCCGAAAGCCAAACTCCTACAGTACTCCTCATGCATGACATTGTGATGGACTAGTTGACTACAAAACAAGTTGTTTCACACGACGTACGTTTCGCCGTATGGTTCGTGACGGCTCATCAGGTGTGCAATATGAAACTCGGATGTTGAGCCATAAATAAATGTAGAAGAGAAAATGACATATGGATACGAGTTAAGAGTAACTCTCCATCACTGTAACATGATACGTACATGATACTGTAACATGATACGTACGTCGTGTGAAACAACTTGTTTTGTAGTCAACTAGTCCATCACAATGTCATGCATGAGGAGTACTGTAGGAGTTTGGCTTTCGGCTTGTACAATTCGTTTTCGCAAAGCTTCCCTTTCTTTACTTATCTTTGATATTTATGACCCACCCAAGTTGGGTGGTGTGCTGCTTTGCTGCTTCGAATTGTAGTTAGACCGCTTTGTCAAATATCGTACTGGTCTCGTCATCGTCCAGTAACAATCGACATTCTTTGTTCCGTTGGGACTGTAGCTTTTGCTCGTTTTCGTTGCGCTTGCCTTCCCCTCTTTGGTCTTTCCATAACCTTGAACCTTCCAAGTTGGAAGGCTGTCGGTTAGCGCTACGGAGATGTGTTGAAGCTAGGTGTCAGGACGTCGAATGTTTCAGTACTCTGTCAGTTTTGTGCCTAGTTATTGCACTTTCTGACTGTATAAAGTATCATGTTTACAGTGATGGAGAGTTACTCTTAACTCGTATCCATATGTCATTTTCTCTTCTACATTTATTTATGGCTCAACATCCGAGTTTCATATTGCACACCTGATGAGCCGTCACGAACCATACGGCGAAACGTACGTCGTGTGAAACAACTTGTTTTGTAGTCAACTAGTCCATCACAATGTCATGCATGAGGAGTACTGTAGGAGTTTGGCTTTCGGCTTGTACAATTCGTTTTCGCAAAGCTTCCCTTTCTTTACTTATCTTTGATATTTATGACCCACCCAAGTTGGGTGGTGTGCTGCTTTGCTGCTTCGAATTGTAGTTAGACCGCTTTGTCAAATATCGTACTGGTCTCGTCATCGTCCAGTAACAATCGACATTCTTTGTTCCGTTGGGACTGTAGCTTTTGCTCGTTTTCGTTGCGCTTGCCTTCCCCTCTTTGGTCTTTCCATAACCTTGAACCTTCCAAGTTGGAAGGCTGTCGGTTAGCGCTACGGAGATGTGTTGAAGCTAGGTGTCAGGACGTCGAATGTTTCAGTACTCTGTCAGTTTTGTGCCTAGTTATTGCACTTTCTGACTGTATAAAGTATCATGTTACAGTGATGGAGAGTTACTCTTAACTCGTATCCATATGTCATTTTCTCTTCTACATTTATTTATGGCTCAACATCCGAGTTTCATATTGCACACCTGATGAGCCGTCACGAACCATACGGCGAAACGTACGTCGTGTGAAACAACTTGTTTTGTAGTCAACTAGTCCATCACAATGTCATGCATGAGGAGTACTGTAGGAGTTTGGCTTTCGGCTTGTACAATTCGTTTTCGCAAAGCTTCCCTTTCTTTACTTATCTTTGATATTTATGACCCACCCAAGTTGGGTGGTGTGCTGCTTTGCTGCTTCGAATTGTAGTTAGACCGCTTTGTCAAATATCGTACTGGTCTCGTCATCGTCCAGTAACAATCGACATTCTTTGTTCCGTTGGGACTGTAGCTTTTGCTCGTTTTCGTTGCGCTTGCCTTCCCCTCTTTGGTCTTTCCATAACCTTGAACCTTCCAAGTTGGAAGGCTGTCGGTTAGCGCTACGGAGATGTGTTGAAGCTAGGTGTCAGGACGTCGAATGTTTCAGTACTCTGTCAGTTTTGTGCCTAGTTATTGCACTTTCTGACTGTATAAAGTATCATGTTACAGTGATGGAGAGTTACTCTTAACTCGTATCCATATGTCATTTTCTCTTCTACATTTATTTATGGCTCAACATCCGAGTTTCATATTGCACACCTGATGAGCCGTCACGAACCATACGGCGAAACGTACGTCGTGTGAAACAACTTGTTTTGTAGTCAACTAGTCCATCACAATGTCATGCATGAGGAGTACTGTAGGAGTTTGGCTTTCGGCTTGTACAATTCGTTTTCGCAAAGCTTCCCTTTCTTTACTTATCTTTGATATTTATGACCCACCCAAGTTGGGTGGTGTGCTGCTTTGCTGCTTCGAATTGTAGTTAGACCGCTTTGTCAAATATCGTACTGGTCTCGTCATCGTCCAGTAACAATCGACATTCTTTGTTCCGTTGGGACTGTAGCTTTTGCTCGTTTTCGTTGCGCTTGCCTTCCCCTCTTTGGTCTTTCCATAACCTTGAACCTTCCAAGTTGGAAGGCTGTCGGTTAGCGCTACGGAGATGTGTTGAAGCTAGGTGTCAGGACGTCGAATGTTTCAGTACTCTGTCAGTTTTGTGCCTAGTTATTGCACTTTCTGACTGTATAAAGTATCATGTTACAGTGATGGAGAGTTACTCTTAACTCGTATCCATATGTCATTTTCTCTTCTACAATAATAATAATAATAATAATAATTGTTAAACCGACCGTTAGCTTAGCAGTAAACCGTTAGGGGTAAAACCGTGACCGTTTGAGCCCTTCTTAAGACGCCTCTGGAAAGGGAGGTGTAGCCTTAAGTCAGACAGTCTCGATGCCGACGCGCCACCATACCATTCGAGCGGGCATATCTTGGGCTAGATCGTACATGTGTAAGTAGGGCTCAAACGATTAGTCCGATTAACCGGTTGCAGACCGGTTACGAAGAATTAACGGTTAACCGGTAAAGATAACGGTTACGCAGTAACTTTTCAGTCAATTTTTCAAGTATCAGGTCGTTGCAAAGTGTGCACTTTCGCGGGCTGTCGCACGCGTACGCAATTTCTCGGCTGGCAACTCGGTCATATCTGGTCTCTTGGTGTGAGAGTATGTATGAATGAGCATGCAAGAGAATGTACAAGTGTGCGTTGTACTGAATAGTTTACATTTTTTGAATGAGTATAGTCAAATATACGGTTAAAAAAGAGTCCGCAGGATTGCCGTGGCTTATAGGTTATAACCGGTTAACCGACCGTTAGCTTAGCAGTTAACCGTCAGGGGTAAAACCGTGACCGTTTGAGCCCTAATTGTAAGACGGCTGAGAAATGAGGACATCTCCCCAGAGACAAACTGAGGGCCGTTGTCCGAAACTAAAGTCTCCGGAAGACCAAATGTAGAGAATAAATACCTCATCACTGAAGTTCATTGATGACGGAAGCTGAGGTTGTTGAGATCGAAGTCTGCGCCCGTATCAGACTATATCTCCACCATAGCCAGGAGAAAATTCTTTCGGAGGTCGTCCCTTTGCCATAGCGTCAAGTTGCTTGAGCTATTCACTGCGCCAGTGTAGTGAGCTGGCCAGAATGTAATGATTACTGGAATAGCAAGAGACTATAACATACAGCAGTGTGAATGTAGCACATCAAGAAGGTGTGAGTACAACACGTGCAGTGATGTGTAGAATGCAGTTAACATTATGTCTATGACAGCTAAGTGGTGTAAGAACAACGCAGTCACTATCACTACAATTAGTACATAAGCTCCCAGGAGCTAATTTTTACTCTTGGTTGCATTCATGCTCACCACAACTTGTACGGTGGTGTTCTCGTCAGGCAATCCAACAGAATAAGAAGTTCTGTTACATGTACTGTGGTCTACCAGGTCACAAAGACTCACAATACAAATGGTGTGCTATAGTTGTTGCATATTTTAAATTAATAATATTGTGGATTAACACCGCGGAGACAACAATTTTAATAAAGCAATAAAAAAGAACTAACTCTGCCTGTTTGCCGTCATCATCATGCATCAACGAAGTCAAACGTGTTCCATAATCGATTTTCATGTCACTATCATCAGTGGAATATCGTGACTGAATTGAAAGCTAGCCATTGCGGATGATGGCGATGGTGAGTTGGATGGAGATGATGATCGTCAGAAGCCTGCTGTGTTTTTGCATTTGTTATCTCACCCTACGTGTTTGGAAGCGTATGATGATTTTTGTTTTACCCCGTCACCTTTCTCTCCAGAGTGTGCCCTGTTCCCAAGGAATGTTGAACGGTTCTCAACAGCAGACAGGACTAGAGTGTTGCCCTCTGGTGCCGTTTGAATGCCTCTACCGATAGCCGGTATGCCACCATGTGCGTGCCTGCATGGTGCTGGCTTGAACCAGGGAGTAGTACAATACCGGTATTGTACCACTCCCCGCCTTGAACCACCATCATGTGACCCAGCGGCCAGAAGACGACCACAAGTATGGAATATTCGCACTGTGCTCGATACAGCAGTGCCTGTAGCATAGAACAATTCAGGGAATAAAGAACAAAAAGGAAAGTGGCTGCTCCATACGCCGGAGCTCACGCTTTCCGCCGGCTGACTTGTCTTGTAGTTCATAAAAATAAGAAAAATCCTATTTAAAAAGCACCTCCAAAATATACATGTTCACACCGAAAAAGAGAGAATTCAAGAAGGGAAGTCAAGAAATAACTATGAGGATTAGGCAGGTGGGAGCTTGCAAATGCTTCCTAATTCAGACAAACTGTAGGAGATTTCGAAGTGAAACGCTGCATGGACAAAATACCAGCAGGCACTACCTTGCCATGCAAGGATTTCTTGAACACGTGACCAAGATCGTTCGATACTACCTTGGAAAATTGAAGGAAAGGTTAAAAAAATTGTTCTAACTACTCCAAGCGGAGCGATACAGTATGAGCGACCGAGTTACTCATCCTAACCTAGTGCAGAGCAGCAGCAACAGAAGCAGCAAACACACTACTTTTCTTACTGTCATTTCATATCAGAGACAGACGCTGGACATGGTGTCTACGCTCTTGAGATGTGCTCCTCTGCCAGAGATTCCATCTCTGCGTGAATGTATTGAAGAATTTTTTCGTTCATGATGGCGTCAACATGCTTTACGTTCGGGAATGCTTTAAGCACAACTGGCTGCGGCTGCTTTCCAACCCAGTTTCGACAGAACTCCAAACTAGGCCGGGGCACCGTTCCATCACCATCACCGATGATTTTCTTCTCAGGTGCAGACCTGTCCAGTGCACTGTACTTGTAACCCCAGGCTGTGTCTACGTTTGTTCCATAGATGCAGTACATGCGAACACCGGGGGGACCATGTATCATTTCACGCTTGCTCATCACATTGGCAAGCCGCTCCTGGGCATGGCTAATGTTCAGTGCCTTCAGCAACTCCACATAGTCCGACACACCGTACGTTTTTCTTGTGTCGTCCACAATGATCAACTCATCGGACACATTTTGCGGCCAGAGTCCAGGCATTGGCGACAAGAACAGGGTACTTTCGAGTGTCCGCTCCATATCAATGAGATCTGATAGGGGCGCTGGTGTGCCGAAATTGTCGCCAGACACCATCGCCTCGAGAACTTTGGGCGATCCGATCCACACACCTTCAACAGGAAACCAGGCCTTGATGTGCTTGTCTCTCCAGTCACTGGTGGTGGTGTTGAAGAATGCTTTCAACACCGGGCCACCCATACTGTGAGAGATGACAATGGCTGGTGCATTGTACTTAGCAGTGACATTCTCCACTAGAGCTTGCAGCCTCTCAAAGTACCCATCCATGCTCCCTGCCAACGACACAGAAAAGAGAAACAAAGCAAACGTTCATGTTCTCTTGTGATATAAAAGGAAACAATGAGGGTGCTGCTTTCATTACTCTTCTACAGGGTTTACAGAGAAAAGTAGCGGAACGAAGCTGGACGAACGACTCCAAGACCATAAGCAGATCAATTATTTTTTTCTTTCTTTCAGGAAAACACAGATGTGGATGGTGTCCAGTAGATTTTGCCAGTACAGATCTGATTTGACAGAGATGGTAGAAGAGCTTGGAGAGGAGTCACTCAAGTACCCGACCTGTCGCTACCCGTAAATAAACCATGAATGCACCCAGAGTGCTCAAAGCACTAATGGCCTAGTGTTGACATCTGCACAAGCAGCCCACTCACACCCATACCCATACATTCTACGCTCAATAAGACGCGCACACGATCTTGGAGGCAAACTAGAGAGTGTATACACAATACACATACAAAAGTACATATCGTCTGGATTTCAAAAGTGCATGACTCATCGCAAGTGGGTGACTTATTGTGGGTAGCCTGTACTCATGCTAAGACTTGTGGTACTGGTCAAGAATAGACTGGAGAGTTGCAGAACGAGAGTTCTACTTGGGTACGAACACGTATCGAAGTACGTTCACTTACAGGGTGACTTTCTCCAGTCGTACGGAGCTGCTACAATGCTCTCGTCACGCTCATAGCCAGCATTGTCGACGAAATACTGCACAATGTCATGGAAGTATTTCGTGAGGCGCTTGATCAAAAAGTCTGTGCTGTCGTCCAGATACTCGACGGATTTGGTTGATCCAAAGTAGGGTATTCTGGTTTCAATGCCGTCCGGGTCATTGTACTTCAGCGTATCCACATCAAACTCCAATCTGACAGCAAGGGAGCAACAGGAAAAAAAGGCAAGCGTCACACCAGAAAAAGCATAACATCGTGAAACAATAATTATTGCTTACAGATGGTAGAAGAATAAGGCATTGACGAGGCTCAAGTCGGCCAACAGCAGCAAAAGCAGGAGGAGCAGTGGCAGCAGCACATCAGATACGATGTCTCAATCCAGAAATAATACATACAGCAAAACCTGCCAAGGCGACCACCTGTCTAAGGTCCTCGGGCTGCGTACAGTGCTCTATGTGCGTACAGTGCTCTATGTGCGTACAGTGCTCTATGTGCGTACAGTGCTCTATGTGCGTACAGTGCTCTATGTGCGTACAGTGCTCTATGTGCGTACAGTGCTCTATGTGCGTACAGTGCTCTATGTGCGTACAGTGCTCTATGTCCAGTGAGCATTGTACAGGCACATGTACAGTAAAACCTGTTAAGGCGACCACCTGTCCAAGAAGATCACTGCAACCAGGACCAAGGGATGCTATTTCCAGTCAAGTGACACAAGATAAGAAGACCACGTTTTGAATGTTCCTTGAGGCTCAATGAGCGGTTGTCTTAGACAGGTTTCACTGTAACTACCGCATAGTAAGACATCCATTAGCACAATTTATAACGTTACTACTCACGACATGTCGACCGCAAGGCAGTGAGCCAGGACAGGAACCACTTCTTTAAAACTCAGCCAGATTTGTCTCCAGTTGGTCATATCTGGGCAGTGAGCCGGGTATTTTGCTATCGGCTTCGTGTGCCTGGCTTCGATGTGGCTGCCAGCGATCCCGGGTACTAAGCAGGATGGATAAAGTTCACAATGCACAACTTCCCCATCAAACAGACATCACACAGGCTCTGTAACAGCCATGCATACCCGTGTATTACAGTCCATTCATAAAAAGATGGGTCCTGGCTCTGGCGAGCTCCCGTATTTGGCGATTTTTCGTGATTTCATCGTACACAGTGCAGTGCTGCGAACTTTGAAATTTGAAAATGGGTCCAAAAAGGGTGCCTGAACTGGGGTTCGAACCGCAGAATGCACTGTTGCAGGCGGGGTCAAACGGCCTGGATTTTGATGGTTTTTCCCAATTCAGTGCTTTTGGGGCAAAACCTGGCCGAAATCCTATTCTTGCTATGGCTTGCTTTTTGGGCAAAAAAACTTCAGAAACATAATTGGAAGAGGATTCCATATGGGATTGCAGAAAAAAATTCTAAAAAAACTTCAACGTTTGACCCATTTATGGCCAAAAGCTAGAAGTTCATTTTTTTCTGAATGGACTGTAGATGTATTAGTACTAGGGCATACTCAGTGTCTGCTCTAGGATTGTAGGACAACCGGGTACACGTGTACCTGGCGCAACCATTTCAACCGGGTCGGAGCCGGGTACACATGTACCTGGCGCTGTCTCACCAGCCGAGTCACATGCTTTAACTGGTTGGTTGGTTTATTTTAATTCGGACAATAAACGGGAACTAGGCCCAATGATATAAAGGCGAATGGATAAGCCGCATTTAAAAAAGAGAGGACAAGAATTAGAAAATTACGAAAGAAGAAGAAGTATCTGACACATACAAGCCATGTAGTCAGTCCTTTCAAAGTTCGAAAGTGTAAAGTACCAACCGGGTCACAGGTGACCCGGTACTATATTTTCAACCGGGTCCAAGCGCCGCCCAACCGGGTGGATTACCTGGCTCACCCGGCGCTGGAGCAGACACTGATACTTGCACACCACACTCACAGTGTCACCGCAATGCATTGTCAACTACAAAACTAAAAACAATACAATCAGGCATGCACCACCGCCCTCCTGCCAGCCTACACAAGGTTCTCAGGTGCACAACTCGGACTCAACACGCTTGGACATTGCGGTGATTCACGTACATGCACTACCATGGGTCTTGTCACACGCACTGACTCTGCACATAGTCCTACAGACTAGGTCTGGGAAGTTTAGATATCTCGCTCGTCAGATATTCACAGTGTAACTCACATCACAATCTGGCAATGACCATGCCGCACATGATAGCAATGGATATACATGCATATGTAATTGCATAAGAAAGAAAGGGAGAGAGAGAGAGATGGGTCTGATTGTGGAATACAGCAGCCTCACGCATCGAAGAACGTTGTTTCCAAGGGATTAGCCTGGGACGTTCCTATTTTTCAGCAATCTGGCTGCGTTCTTACAGCACATTCTTACTACATAGCAGAAACAATTCGTGCCGGATCCTATGTGTCCCAAAAAGCAGCCAGAAAACCAAATCGGCCCCCCTCTGTCTCATGTTAAAAAGGTCTGTGCTCTGCAAATTTGCCAAACCTGTTTTTACAGAACATGTAATTATAACTACCAATGTTGAACCACGGGAAGTACGACACAATTGAAAACTTCCAAAGTTCCCTACTTCAGGGTACTGAGCCGAATAGCCATGATCAAAGGAAGCTGCAACTCTGTCTGATCCTAGGGATTGGGTCATTGGTAAAAATAAAAAATAAAAAACTCCGAATCAACAGCTTCACACGCAAAATGAACATGTAGCTGTCATGTATGGCATTAACATGTCAGTACAGGAATGCAGCTTGCGTTGGGTTGCGAGTATCAGGTGGACGATTCTTTGGAGTCTCCCTCAGACTTCATCTAAGTCCAGTTGACTGGAACCAACTCCAGGGTTTAGCAATGACATAAAACGAGCACCTGTCAAGGCTAGAAGAACAGGCGGATGTACAGTTTCATGACCACAACCTGCAAGATACTGATAGTCTTGTTTGGTGACAAGACGGAGGATCCACGGTGAAGGAAGCTCTGATCAAGCTGTCGTACGTCAGAGCATAGCCATGCATGTGCATGTATCTCCGTGAGAGTGCAGGTGAGGGTCTGGTGAAAACTTCTAAATCCCCCCCCCCCCCCCCCCCCCCACACACACACACCTGAACAAGCCTCTGAGCTGACACTGTACAGACAGACTTTTTTTTAGCTATGACACAGAAATTCAACTTTTTACGAATTACAATTTTTCTGTCGTCAATCTTCACATGACTTTTTCTACTGATCACTAGCACTGTACTGTTTTTTCCTGGCATCAATTCAAAGTGCGGAGAAAGATTCTTACCCAAGACGATTGGGAATCTAATCGCCATACAGCATCCCGACCAGAACGCCAACAGTAGCAGGGCCACCTTCAGCATTTTCAAAGTTCACAGAATGTTCGTCTTCCGGGAGAAAAAACACCCCTGCGGGGCAGTTCTTGTATCGGATTCTTCACTTTGCAAAGCAGATCTCGGACGTAGGAGTTCCAGTGCACTAGTGGGCAAACGGTGTGGGACAACGAATGGGACCCTATCCCTGGACTCTCAACCCTTTCCGTTTTCGTTCATTTTGTATTTCACATTAATTTTGATCAGGGAGTAGTACAATACTCTGACTCTGAGTATTGTACTACTCCCTGATTTTGATAGTGCTCCTAGATCCTGCGCCGCGCCAGTTCAAAAGTTCAAGTTTCGTTTTGGCTGATATCTACGCACCAACACGTCATCATCGTGCGCGATGATCGATGATGCATGATTTGCACATATTAAAATGTGACAATCATAAATCAATCACAGTCATAATATTATACAACATTACAATGTTACATCTATTATGTCATATCGATCTACTCATGATGTCATGCTCGCGAGTCGTCATGTGATTAGTGATTACTGATCAGTAGTACTACTACTACTAGTGATCAGCTGACTGATGCCTTGTTCGAAGTAAGTACAATCATGTACATACTACATGACTGTACAGCCGTGTACCATGGTGTACAGTAGTTGAATGACTATGTTGGCCCTGTGCAGTGTTGGGCTACTGATAATTATGATGCCATAAATTATAATGCAATGGGTGTGATCAAGTCCATAATCTCCCCCCCCCCCCCCCCCGTGGGGGTACCGGGTTATGGACGCTTGGTAGGATTAGATATATCCAGGGCAAAATTTAATAATTGACGACTCCCTGATAAGTACGTAGTTCTGCCGCAGGGAGTCGTAAAAAAATATCATACCGGTACTACGACTCCTGCGGCCTGATCTACAAAAGTACAAGACAAGTATAGGTGTAGCAGCAGCAGTGTAGGAGGCATGCACACAGCACAGTCATGTGTGTCTATCACAGTATCAGTCATGTTCTAGACGGAGCAAAACTGTGGCTGGCAGCTAGTGTAGGGCGAGGTTCAGTATTAGTCCGAGAAGACTGTGACAACACATCATGGACCCCGGCATCACATTCGGGTGGCCACCAAAATCGCGATGTAGGCCCGTTTGATTTCGACATGCAAATCAGGAGGCACCACCAGTCCACCACAGCCTGACTTTTTGAAGTCACAGAACAGTGTCGTACTTATCCGCCTGAGGATATTTGACGGAGCATGAATCATGCACCCCCCCCCCACTGAGGCCTCATCAGGCGACTAACACAATTCGCTGACTCAGCACCCAGAAGCTTGCACAGATCATCCCGTGTAACCAGTGGTAACAGAGCCTTGATACTGTACATGTATCAGTAAAATTAATTCGAGAAAAAAAACGTTAAATTTGTTGAAAAATAAATAGTTGGAAGATCAGATCACAAAAGCAATGCAACACCCTTTAAATAGCACATGTCCATTCTCATGATGAAGAAAAGAGAGAGAGAGAGAAGGTAAGGAGTGGAAACGAGAAGCAACTATGACATCATAGCGACAGACCGGCCCAGGAGTGATATCATGATGAGCACAGTACAAGAGCAGGACTGAGGAGATTTGTATATTAGGACGTAAATAATTTTTTGAAGTAATATGCTGCAATAACAAAAAAATACTGGTGGTCACACCACCAAGTAAGTTGCCGGATGCGAGAATTTTTTGGAAAATCTTCTGCCAACACAAGCTCATTCGATACTACTCTAGAAAATAGAAAGAAATGGTAAAAATTATCAAAATATACCCCTAGTAGAGCACTACACCGGGGCATCAGCGACTCGGCGCGCTACTCAGCATCCCAACCCCTGGTGCAGAGCAGCAGCAGAACAGCAAACACGCTGCTTTCTTACTGTCATTTTAAGTATCAGAGAGAGAGAGAGAGAGAGAGAGAGAGAGAGAGAGAGAGAGAGAGAGAGAGAGAGAGAGAGAGAGAGAGAGAGAGAGAGAGAGAGAGAGAGAGAGAGAGAGAGAGTGAGAGAGCGCGAGAGAGAGAGAGAGAGAGCGAGAGAGCGAGAGAGAGAGAGAGAGAGCGAGAGAGAGAGAGAGAGAGAGAGAGAGAGAGAGAGAGAGAGAGACGCCGGACACGGTGCCTACGCTCTAGAGGTGTGCTCCTCTGCCAGAGAATCCATCTCTGCGTGAATGTATTTAAAGATGTCGGCATCCATGATGGCACCAACGTGGTTCACGTTCGGGAAAGTTTTGAGCACAACTGGCTGCGGTTGTTTTCCAACCCAGTTTCGACAAAACTCCAGACTGGGCAGTGGCACTGTTCCGTCACCATCACCTATGATATCCTTCTCAGGTCCAGACCTGTCCAGTGCACTGTACTTGTAACCCCAGGCTGTGTCTACGTTTGTTGCATAGATGCAGTACATGCGAACACCGGGGGGACCATGTATCGTTTGGCGTTTGGTCATCACACTTGTGAGCCGCTCTTGGGCGTTGCTCATGTTTAGTGCCTGCAGCAGCTCCAAGTAGTCGGATACACCGTACGTTTTTCTTGTGTCGTCCACAATGATCAACTCATCGGACACATTTTGTGGCCAGAGTCCAGGCATTGGCGCTAAGAACAGGGTACTCTCTAGCGTCCGTTCCATATCAATGAGATCGGTCACTGGTGCCGGTGTGCCGAAGTTGTCGCCAGACACTATGGCCTTGAGAACTTTGGGCGATCCGATCCACACACCTTCAACGGGAAACCATGCCTTGATGTGCTTGTCTCTCCAGTCACTGGTGGTGGTGTTGAAGAATGCTTTCAACACTGGGCCACCCATACTATGAGAGATGACAATGGCTGGTGCATTGTATTTAGCAGTGACATTCTCCACTAGAGCTTGCAGCCTCTCAAAGTACCCATCCATGCTCCCTGAGCCAACGTCACAAGCAAAAAAGAAACGAAACATTTTTCAGTCACGGAAAAAAAGTAGGAAAATTGGAAGTGTCTCCAATTTTTTTAATTCAGTGCATGCATTGACACAGCTCACACCAGTCTAAACGAGAACAAAATATTGCTCTTCGTTGATGCATTCAGTGTGTTTATGTCATCATCTGTATGCTGTTCTTGACCTGCTAGCTGTGCTAGCTTTCTCGCACGTGTAGTGTGATGTTGTACTTTCATGAGTTCTTTGCCGATACAATAACAATGGCTGTCTTAGGAACTTTGCTATGCTCCTAGCGTTGGCCTACACGGCTACAACGCATGATCAAAGGGAACAACCAAGGTCAGAGGCTCCACACTCTTGGTGAGTCTCAATATCCGAGTACTCCGAGGCTAGACCTTAGTCAGTGTGCAACGGCCAACTTACAAGGCGACTTTCTCCAGTCGTACGGAGCTGCTACAATGCTCTCATCACGCTCATAGCCAGCATTGTCGACGAAATACTGCACAATGTCATGGAAGTATTTCGTGATTTCTTTGACGGCAAAGTTTGTGCTGTTATCCAGGTACTCGATGGATTTTGTTGATCCAAAGTTGGGTATTCTGGTTTCAATGCCTTCAGGCTCATTGTACTTTAGCGTATTCACATCAAACTCCAATCTGAAGCAAAGGGACAACGGAGAGCAGGTTTGTGTTCATCAGAAAAATATCGTGAAAAATCACTGCTTACCTACCTTCATATTCTGAACGTAAACTTGATCATGATAGCGGACATGGAGTACAAAAACGAATCACTTATGAAGATCATGGCTGCAACCGTAGTAATGCCAATAGGCAGAACAATCAGGCAACATCCGCCTGGGAAATATTGCGCAATGTTCGGGTATGCTGCTCAGGGGGGGGGGACAAAGGTGGCAGGGATTGCAAGGCCTCTGTTTCTTGCAGAGCATGACATTGTTTTGTCGTGTGTGCATTGCCAGCATGGCATTTGGCAGTCGAATTGTAAGAAGCGTGTGACCACAGGACCCATCAGTGCTAATACCTGCTTGATGATAGGAATATGCAAGCAGGAACGAGCATAATACACAGTAGCACCTACAATTTTCGACACAATGCAATACTCACGTCATGTCAATTGATAAGCAGTGGGCCAGATCAGGTAAGATGTATTTAAAACTGAGCCAGGCCTGTCTCCAGTCATCGGAGGAGAACACAAGCCGGCAGGCTTCTGGATACGGTATCTTCTCCGTATGGCGCACATAGATCTGGCTACCAGCGATGCCGGGCACTGCATAGACACAAGTTCACAACACACAAGCTGATCCCCATCAAACAACTATCGCTCAGCCTCCATAGCGCCCTGGTGCACACACAAGCCAGTAGAGACTTCTCTACATCCCTATTACATGCAGTATTCTGTGCAATGAATAGGCTAGCACGGCTGACATTTCAAACATGCACCCATAATTATTATGAGTGATTTCCCGCACATTTCTCCCCCTCCTCCCCCCCCCCCCCCCCCCCCCCACACACACACACATTGTCACATGATAAGCATTCCAGGGCAGTACTTTTACGACTCGTCCACCAAAGATCACAGTCATACTGTACTTGGTTCCAGTGTAAACCATTTAATCAGCAGGCGCATTATATATAAAAAAAAGAAGAAGGATGATCTTTGACGAGTTTATTTAGCAAGACCCACGTGTACTAGTCCTGTAGCCCAATAAACATTGTGACAAAAGTTCTGTGAGTGTGACATAAATGGCATACAAGTCGTTCATTTTATCTCTATTTTTAATTGGGTATAATTATAATAATGCCTGCTGAGATAGACAGAAGGTGATTGCACACATGCGCCCATAATTTAGATAATTGAAAACATAGTCATTGGAGCGAATGAGTCTTACCCATAACGATTGGGAACTTGATTGCCACGCCGCATCCCGACCATAGCGCCAATAGCAGCGCTAGCACTGGCAGCTTCAGCATTTCGGCGATCACAGAATGCTTGTCTTCAAGTCCTCGAAGTGGAGCAAAAAGCCTGCTTTCCTGCTTTTTATACGACGTAGCGCTCACACTCAGTGCGCGGTAACTAATACTTGGCGACTTCCTCGCTACTACTAGATCAGACGCAGCTAGCCAGGGATTTCTGTAGTGTAGCCAACGGCTTTGCCTTTGGGTACCAAAGTCTGGGACCAATTCTGTTCAAAAATACATGCCACTTCCTCTGATCGAGTACTCATAATGCCAGTAATAAACAAAACCCACGGCTTGATATGTGCGTGCATGCACCATGTGCACGGCATGGAGCTTACTAAACTAAGTTACTTCCTGCATGCATGGTTTGGCCCGAAATGTAGCAGCCACCTACTGCAGTTGGTAGATCTACGTAGGCGACGTGTAGTATCTACGTAGTCGTAGCCTCGTAGGTGGATGGTGAGAAATCTACAGGCTACATACAGTGTACGTCAAGTATTCAAGTACAGTCAAACCTCTTGACTTTAGCCTAGGACGAACATCAAGATTCAAGGGACCAATGATATTTGTTCGCAATAACCAGATAACGGGAGTTCTTCTTATCCATAAATAATTATGTTTTACCCAGTGAATACACAGGGTTTTATCCAATACAGTTAGTGAGTTACGAATATTAGTTCTTCTTAGGCGAACATTTGTCTTATCAGTGTTCTTCGAGGTTTCACTGTATTTCTAGTAATACTATTAGTATTACTACCAGTTCAAGTGCTTGTGGCTCACATGCGATATGCACAGACTAGACTGTAGACATGGTAGCTAGATACAGTAGACTACTACAATTTTTTTTAATAATTACAGGTAGTACTGTACTGTACTACCTGTAAGTGTAAGGCTGTAGTAGTCGTCAGTGGTTACCTGGTTACGTGCCCACGGGTAGTGGCGCTAGTGTCATTGATCTGTAGATTCTACCTTCGGCGCCGAGTCGATCTGCCCATGGCCCAGCGTCCTGCTGATTGTAGCCTTTCCTAGCTTTACCAGGGAGTATGACTCCCTGGCCTTTACTCTGTCTTGACTTCCTTTGGCCTTAGCCTAACTTTTTTCGCCCTAAGACAGGCTAAGTAAAATAGTTAGGGCAAGTAAGTTAGGCTTAGGCTTTACTTCAGCTTTGGCACGAGTGGAGCCTAGTCCTAGAGTAGACTAGAGCAGCAGACATGGTAGAGGACAGGAGTCTAGGAAAATGCAGACTACGTGGCAAATACAATCATGTACTCAGCGCTCTCGTGATCCCGCAGTCGTCAGGTCACTCAGCCAAGGCTACAGCAGACAACAGCATGCAGTGCAGCATGATAGAAAGTGAAGTTAGTTTTTGAAGACTGTGTGTGCTGTTGTAGAAGCTGAAATAACCACACCGTTTGTTTGCTTTGTGGTTAAATTAAGAGCCAGATCAGGGACGAGCAAAACAAGAGAACAAAAGCTACAGACAGTACAACGACGTAACACAGGTCGTTACGTTACGTGCAGTGCTGATTCAGGAGATGTACAGGCAATCATCATGGTAACACTCAAGTAAGTATTAGTTACCACTGCCATGATTCGGGTTGGTCATACTTCAAACTGGACTAGTGTAGCTACTGTAGGATCGTGTTTTTGACTTGGCAGACCTAACGGACTGCAACAGGAGGAAGCTGTAGCAGCTCTTCACCTTCACGCACTAAAAAGCGAATGTCGGAGGTCAGAGCTACACACACATGAGTTCACGGACGTCAGGACACCAGTTTCCTGCCGGAATACAATTACCGGTATTGTAGATCTACAGTGCAAGTATGCATGATTGTACAATTTGTAGTAAGCTGAGCACCCATACCGTAGTCCCCACCAAATCATGGAAAAACCAATGTACTACAGTCATCCCTCCAGCACCCTCTATAAACCAGCACCCTCTATAAACCAGCACCCTCTATAAACCAGCATAATTATTCTCAGGAACCAAAATGTCCTTTTACTGCACATTGCAGCAGTAAATCAGATTTTCTAATCCAGCAGCCTCCCTAATCCAGCAGCCTCCCTAATCCAGCAGCCTCCCTAATCCAGCAGCCTCCCTAATCCAGCAGCCTTCCTAATCCAGCTCAGCTCAGTAGAACAAATGGTGCCGGATTATAAAGGGACCACTGTACTTGAGAAGTACAGGATGCAACTTTTAAAAAGGACTGGAAACACATGCCTAAACAAAGTGTTTGATTTTAGCGTTGTTAGAAAAGCAAGCACGAAGCAGGGTAAGCTGCTTATATTGTGGCAGGAAGTGGCTGTGGATCATGTTCTCATTACGAAAACCAAGGGCGCCGGCAGCTGCACTGTCCGTATTCGGCTACAGCAAAGTTTTCCTTCTGTTGTTGACTTGCGAATGGAGCTTCCGGCATGTAGACTACAATGTAAGCTCTGCCCGAGCAGACAATCACTGTGAATCGATGCAGATTTATAAGTTAGGCTGTGTTTACATGAGGCGTTTCAACCCGGGTTGAGTTCGACCCGGGTCAGATTTCAACCCGCCATGTGCACAAAGTGAATGGCGCGTTTACATGACGCATTGCGCTTGACCCGGGTTGAAATTTCGCCCCGGGTTGATTTCAACCCTCCCCCCAAGGGGAGGGTTGAAACCAACCCGGGTCAAGAAAATCGTACAAACGTACTTCTGTGCGTATCTCGCGCCAGGTTTGAACAGCACTGCAGATGCAAATTTCGCGCGAACGGATTCACGTGACCATGCAGGACTGTAGAAGTGGACTTTTGGCGGCATATCAGTATTTGACCCGGGTCAACTGTCTTCATGTAAACGCTCACCTCTTTTGTCTGTCGTACAGACTTTCAACCCGGGCTGAACTCGACCCGGGTTGAAACTTCTCATGTAAACACAGCCTTAGTACTGTTACTACATAATTGCACAATCATTTTCTGTGCTGAATCATACACCAACCAGCTATCGCTAGGCTATGCTTTATATTGGCCAAGTCCCACTGAACATGTAATAGTCGCCTGGTGATTGCATTGAGCAAGAAACTCAGAGTTGCGACACATCTGTAAACCTCCGTTGTGCCTTTTGTGCCGGTGTAATTGCACAATCATGTAACTAATTACTTATTATTAATTCTTTGTTGCCATCTTCAATAGGTCCGTCAAATACAGTAGTAATAGGTTTTTCATTTGACCCGACGAGACCACACGACGCTTGCAGATCACAGCACGAACAGTTCACCAGCCACACTCCACGAAAGCAAGTAGTAGTACTCCTGACATTATATATTATTATTGTAGTTTGGTTGACACACTGTACAGTAGAACACGGTGTATGGCGGCCAGCGTATTCCTATCCCAGGACAGTGCAAGTCGCTCATCTGCAGCATTGGCATCGCGACATCTCTCGAGAGGAACAGCATTATACTACAGTACAGACACTACCAAAATAGACAACAGCAACCTGAGTGCCGCCCTCTCCTTAGCTTTCGCTCAGGCCGCTCACGTGAAAGGAAGTACATTTTAGTGCCGCTATTTACAGAAAGCAGCCAGTACAAAAGCATTTCGTGAAAAAGAGAACAACCCTGGAAGTCAGCAGCACAATCGAATAGTGAGTTTACAAACTCGAGCTGTTGTTCTGTGAAAATAATATTGATCTATCCAGTGTCCCAAATCCACTGGCGAAAGACGGGTTCACCGTTCACGCCCCTACATGCTAAATTCCCCATGATTGTCTAAAAATCCATTGGCCCATTTCGCACCATAACGTGCAGTTATTGCCATTCTGAGGTGCTACAGATGCTCAGCATTCTTCAGTGCTAAGTTGAGAACTTTGATATCGCTGACAAGGGCTACTGGAATACTTGATGGCGCCGGCCTCTGAACTTCTTGCTTGTCGGTCGGTCTCGGAAACACATAATTATGCATCCATTGTCAATTATGTCGGTGCATCTCGCCGCAGCCTCAGGACAGGTCCAAAGAATCGTCACCTGGCAGCGCGGATGATCTGGCTCAGAGGACCACTTTCTGTCCTCTGGTATAACTATAAGTCCTTATTGGTGATGTGTTGAGACGTAGCCGACTTCCGCTGATGTGTCGGAGCTCACGTCGGTGGCATACATCAATGGCTTGAGCGGGGCTCCTGTGAGGCCCCAAGACCAAGTGGCCATATTGTACTGAGGTGAGTACTATGATTGGTCACGTATATTTTAAAGCAAAGCATTGAATTTGTAAAGGCGGATCCTCAGCTTCTCATTTACAATGTGTCCATGGCAGTCGTTTATTGCTAGCTTTATTCGCCTGGAATTATCTTCCTAATCTCCTATGACTGTTGAGAGATCCCAACTTCTTGACACGCCGTCATTCCTTGTCGGCTCGATCAGCTGCTGGTTCAAATGTATGCACGTTCTCTCCGTTTTGTCTTGATTCACAACCAAGCTCTACTGGCCGAAGGTACTGTCGATGATCGGAAGCAGTGTGTCAAGATATGATTCACTTGAGATCACTAAATCAGCACCACCTGCATATTCAAGTGACAGGGGGCAGGCCCGGACGCGTATCTGGTCGTGGAGGAAGGTTAGCCAAAGTGGCTCGCAGTACAGTCGAATGTCACTTATCCGACCACTTCGGGAATCAGGCATGTTGGATAGCTGGATATGTTGGATAACTGATATCATTTTTGTACTGCTTCCAGGTATTAGCCTGATTAAAAAAAAAGAACTGGGGACAAGGAGTATTTTTTGCGGCGTCCCATTTATTTGTTGTGGCGAATGCATCTCTTGTGGTGAAACAAAGCCGATAAAGCCGAGTCCATGATGCCGGCAGTCACCTACACAGATCGGAGGTTTACTTATACTGTCGTCACTGAACGGCAATGTGCGCTGCCATCGACTTCGTTTCCTGAAGACAGCAGATGTCAATTTTATACTTGTCAGCGTCTTTTGCTAGCTCGAAGCGCTTGTTGCTTTAAGCGAGCCCTTGTACATTGAAAGTTCCGATAGTTGGTGTTGTTCGTTGTTGATTTTTATTTTACTTCGCAAGGCCAAACGGGCAATGGTGCCCACGTCTATGGGAGCGAATTTCAAAGCAGGAAAGAGCGAGCGAGGGGGAGGAGGAGAGAGAGAGAGAGAGAGAGAGAGAGAGAGAGAGAGAGAGAGAGAGAGAGAGAGAGAGAGAGAGAGAGAGAGAGAGAGAGAGAGAGAGAGAGAGAGCGAGAGAGAGAGAGAGAGAGAGAGAGAGAGAGAGAGAGAGAGAGAGAGAGAGAGAGAGAGAGAGAGAGAGGGAGA